AATAGTAGACAGTCTAAGGTTAAAGTTTTTGGGGTTTGGGGAAGAAACTACAGAGTTGGGTAGAGTATTCCAGACATTGACAACTCTGTTGCTGAAGTCGTATTTCCTGCAATCAAGTTTGGTGCGGTTAACCTTGAGTTTGTATCTATTGTGTACTCTTGTGTTGTTATGGTTGAAGCTGAAGTATTCATTGACAGGTAGGACATTGCAATGTATGATTTTATATACCATATTTAAATCAGACCGAAGACGGCGTAATTCAAGGTTTTCTAGTTCTAGAATTTCAAGTCTGGTGGCATAAGGTATTCTACAACGAGTAGAGGAGTGGAGAACTCTTCTTGTGAAATATTTCTGGACTTTCTCAATTGTGCTAATATCAGATACGTGATGTGGGTTCCAGACTGATGAGCTGTATTCGAGTATTGGTCTAGCAAATGTTTTGTATGCTCTAGTTAGTAGTGTGATATTACCAGAGAAAAAGCTACGTAGGATTAGGTTAACAATTCTTAATGCCTTTTTGGCTATGTAGTTACAGTGGACTCTAGCAATTAGATCATTAGAGGTGAGTATTCCAAGGTCCTTTACAGAGCTTGGGTCATCAACAAGATCTTGACTATTCAGCTTGTATTTTATTTTCTGATTTTTTTTGCCAATATGTAAGCCAGAGCATTTATTTGTTGAGATTTGAAGTTGCCATTTGTTTGACCATTCTGATACATAGTCAAGATCTTTTTGAAGGGTAGTCTTTGTCTTTGTTATTGAACAGCTTTACATCATCAGCGAAAAGAACGCAGTTGCTCCTAATATGATCACAGAGGTCATTTATGTAGAGTATGAGGAGAGTTGGTCCTAGAACACTGCCTTGGGGGACGCCACTGTTGACAGGTACAGAATTTGATAGGACACTCCCAATTTTGACCATTTGTTGTCTGTTTGCCAGGAATGCTTCTATCCAGTTATGCAGTTGTCCAGAGATACCATAGGATTTTATTTTTAGGAGTAGTTTGTCGTGTACCACTGAATCAAAGGCTTTACAGAAGTCTATGTAGATTGCGTCTATTGCTTTGCCCTGATCGAGTTGTGTTGTCCATATCTTTTTGCAGTGTAAGAGTTGCAGATTACAGGATAGTTTTTTTCTGAAACCAAATTGTTTATTGGAAAGTAGGTTGTTTGACTCTAAGTGGAGGATGATGAATTGGTTAATAATTGATTCCATGACTTTACAGGTGACGCAGCATAAGGAGATTGGCCTGTAATTTTCAACTAGGCTGGGGTCTCCCTTTTTGAAGATGGGGATGACCGTGGCTTGTGATCATAGGTTAGGCAAGGAGCTGGTCCTGAAAGATTTTTCAAAGATTATGTTTAGAGGTTTGGCTATGGCAGTGGATAGCTTTTTTAAGAAGTAGGCACATATTCCATCCGGTCCAATAGATAGAGATGGTTTTAGAATGCATAGTGCTTTTCCAATATTGTCTTCTGTAAAATTGATATGTATTAGATCATTGTAGTTATCTGTGGTTCGACTAGAAATACTGGGCATGATCCATTGCTGTTTACAAATACTGAGCCGAAGAATGTGTTAAAGATGTTGGCTTTAATGATGTTATCGTTGCAGTTTTTACCATTAGGTCCTATCAGGGGTGGGATGGACCTTGAGTCTTTTAGTTTGTTGTTTACAAAATTGTAAAAAGCACGGGTGGAATTGGTGCTTAGAAGGTTTTCCTCTTGTTTAATGTGATAATTGGTGCATTCAGTCTTTATCTGGTGGCATAAATTTTTGTATCGGCTTTTGAAATTGGCAACGTGACCAGATTTGTTTTTCCGCCAGAGTGATCTCTTTTTGGATTGAATTTTCCTTATTGTTATGGGTAATCTGTTTTTTTGTTTTGTTTTGGGAGTTGTTGTTGGTACATATAGTTTGATGACTCTTTTGACTTCAAGTAAAAATATGTTGTAATGTTCTTCATATTATCTTTTCTCATTAAACAAATTTTCCCCTGTAGTTACTAATTGGAGTATGACACCTATATATCACTCACTCCATTCCAATTCAATTCTATCACGAATATTCATTAAAATCTTAACATCTTTAACATTTCTTTTCAATTGAATATCATAATTCCTTGGGAACACTTATAAACTTTCCATAATTAATTCTTTTTTTCTATATTTCTCTTCACTTATATTTTTATAAATCATTAATAATAATTAAAATGTTCCCATCCTTTCCTAATTTAATTCTCTCATTCACTTTAATTCATTTATTTATTAACAAACATTCCACTACATTACAATGAATATTTTTCCCATCATTTTAGTCATACTTTCTGAAATTATTTCTATTTGTAATATAACAATACTATCTTATGTACCTTTGCAGAATCCCTTTTACAATTAAATTTTCACCCACTATCTCTAAATAGGTTTATACTTTCAATCCTTATACCTTTTCCCTGTTTCTCTATATCTTGTTTCTGTCTTTTATAACTTCTTTTCTTTTCCTTCTTCCCCCTCTTCTTCTCCCTCCCCTTTTTACCCCCTCGTCCCTCTACTTCTAATTCTCTCTTCTGTAATCCCCTCTTCTGTTGCTTTCTAATATTATACTTATCTTTCAAACTATTCTTCTTTTTTTGGTTGTTTTTTCTAGTCTTAAACCTTTCACTCTTTCCCCCCTTTCCATTTTTTCCTTCACATAAAATTACTCGATCATTAAAGATGGCTTCTCTTTGTCCCGATCTTCTTGTTCTGCAAGCGTTTCTTGTTGTTTCTCATAGTTCCAGATCTCCATTTCTAAGAATTGAAATATGAAGCCAAAAGAACTTCTCCCTTCTTGCGCATCTTCTTTCTTTTTTTTAAGTTCCATTTTCAGTTCTCCTAAGAGTGATGCCATTTTAAACACTTTTAAACAACCACCCGATTGATTTTAATCATTTAAATGCAAAAACCAAAAATCACCAAGTAATCCAAGTAATCCAAGGCTGTTTCTTCTTACTTCTTTTTTCCACTTTCTCTTCCTGGGGTTCTATTATTTTGTTTCCAAGTTTCAGTTAAAATGTATCTTTTAGGAATCTTGTTTAGGTTTCACTGTAAATTCCTTTTAGTTCCAAACAATCTCCTCCATTTTTCCAGATCCTGCCCTTTTATTCTTTTTTTTCTCCTTTCCTGCTTTTAAAAGCTTTTAAATATCCAGAAATCTTTATTATCCCTTTGACATTTTATTTTCAGCTTAAATGCCTATTAATGTCAAAGTGGATTTTTTTTTTCAATTTCTTGCTTAAGTCTCTTAGCTGTCAATATAAGGAAGGGAAGAAAAAAAAATCCTTTCCCTTCTCTCTCTCCTTCACTGCTTCAAAATCTTCTTTGGGAACAATGCTATTTTTTATAGTTTAAATTCCATACCTTATGTTGTTGCTTTTTCAGTTTAACCCGGTCAACCAAAACTTTCTCTTCTTATCTTCCTCCTGCACATTCTTTTCCAGTCAAGTTCTTCTTTGAGGTGGCCATATCTGACCACTGCTGCAACTGCTTTCGGGAAAGGGAAGTAATGGCCAGCTGGGGAGGAGAGATGCAGCTCTCCTCGACCCTGCTGGCAGTCTCCCCCCTCTTCTCCACCTCTACGGGGTGGCTTAGCCCCGAAACCAGCCAGCTTGGGGCACTCCGGTGGCAAGCACGGATTGAAACCACACATGATCGGAGATTTTGGTCCGTCACCAAAGGAACTCAAACTAGAAGTCCCCATTCTTACATTGTTTTGAGGATGGGATGGGGCAGGAAGTATCAGGAATAGAAGGGAATTGCAAGGGAATCAGAAGGGAATTGGAAGGAAAGAAAAAATTTAGTAGATGCAATGGAAACAACAACAAACACAAAATGGTTATCAGCCATCATTTTGTCCTAGACAGGCTGTGGAGTTGGGTTTTGGAGGGCTGTTTAGCATGTTTAATTCTTTCCTTGGTGGCTGATTCCAGATATTTTTGATTTGCTTTTTAGTGGGCACATGTTACACCAACTGTGCAGACTACGTTTAGTTTGGTTTAGTTTAGTTTACTTTATTGTCATTGCACCTCATACAACAAAATCAGACACTATCTTCAGTGCACATCATGACCATGACCATAAAAATAAACACAAACACACATCCTTCACCCTCCACACATTGAACCAAATGTATGCAATGGTTTCTGATTATTGTCCAAGGGTAATGGAATAACAGAATTGGAAGGGATTTTGGAGTCCCACCCTTTGCTTAGGCACAAAATGGTTATCTTCTACTATTGAAGCATTTACAAGTTCTGGAGGCAAGTATTCCAGTGATTAATTTCCTGCCAGAAAATTTCTCTTTAGTTCTAAGTCCTTTCTCTCCTTCATTAGTTTCCAATCATTGCTTCTTGTCCTACCCTCAGGTGTTCCCTCTTCTTTGTGCTAGCCCCTGAGATATTGGAACACTGCTATCATGTTACCCCTAGTCTTCTTTCCATCAAACTAGATATACCCAGTCCCATCCGATTTAAGGTGATGCTTTTAACCTAAGAAATTGGTGACCTTAATTAATTCATCTGTCCCCTGGATTTGGCTTGACTCCCTTAATGATGTCAAGAAAAGTAATTAGTTGTCTCATATTTTGATGGGGCCTGAGGCCTGAAGACATTCCTTTACTTCATGGGAATGGCCCACTGGAATAGTCTCCCATAAAAAAATATCTTTCATTGCAACACTGATTACCATCTGAAAACTTCAGAAAATTGAAGAGTATATTGAATTTTCAACATACAATTTTTCTTCTGACAAAATCAACCTCTTGCTTTACATGTTTCTTAAGGATTAAAATAAATATACTTTAACTGATGTTGGGACATTTTCAATCATGTCTACAATGGAAGATGAAGGCACTCTAAAAGATCAAAGCAGTATGTGTCTCTTTTATCCTGAGTGTTATGCAAATTGAGTGACAACTTCCTGTTTAATGGAATCATATCTTCCCACTCTTCTTCTGCACACAAAAACTCAAAGGTTGAGTGCTTGTCTGAATGTTTTCCCATCAATAAGAATCCTACAACCTTTTGAACAAGCAATAATGGAACTCTGGCTGAAACTAATGTTTTTATTAGTTGTCCTCACAGGTATTATTTTCACCTCCAAAGACAGTGGTTATTCCTCAGTTTCTTGTGTATACCTCCAAGAAGTCTTATTAAATAACCTTTTTTCCTAGGTGTCCAATCTGAGGTCCAATTGGTGGAATCTGGAGGGGATGTAAGAAGACCCGGAGAGTCCCTCCATCTCTCCTGCCAAACCTTGGGGTTCACCTTCAGTAGCTACTGGATGAGCTGGCTGAGACAGGCTCTAGGGAAAGGACTGGAATATGTGGCAAGGATACGCTATGATGCTGCATATATTTACTACTCAGACAAAGTCAAGGGGCGCTTCACCATCTCCAGGGAAAATGCCAAAAGCCAGCTGTATCTGCAAATGAACAGCCTTAAACCAGAGGATATGGCAGTCTATTACTGTGTGAGAGACACAGTGAGAGGAAGTCTATGTAAAGCCAAGCAAAAACCACCCATTTCAAATAACAGTTCTGCATAGTTATTGTCTAATAAAAAACAACTTTATTCATACTGATTCTTTCTTCAGGTCTTCATTCTACATATCAACCTTCATTCATTCAATCTATAGGTATGAGCCTGTGTTTTTTATTTTATTTTATTTTTTATTTTATTTGAATACTCCCTTCATGTCATCATTCGGCACTTCAGCCTCTTCATTTAGTCTATAGGAACTAGCCTCTTTTTCTATTTTTATATAAGGAGCTCCCCACCTCAATTTCATACTCAATCCAGGTTTATATTTACTCAATCTACTCTTTCCTGACTCTCTCTCTCTGCTTCATTCCACCACCCATATTTATTAGCCCTTAATTTAGAAGAGAAGAGAAGAGAAGAGAAGATAGAATAACAGAGTTGGAAGGGATCTTGGAGGTCTTCTAGTCCAATTTATTGATGATATCATAAATTTATCTAAATCAGGACAAAGAGTTGGTGATGTAGATGAGAAAAGCACAATCAGAGCTCAAGTTCTGAACTGGGATAGTTTGATTGACTTAACCTACTTTGCTTATAAACTGGTTTTGTCTTCCCAATGAAACCAAGATGTAAATGAGGTCACTGAGCTGCTTCTCCTTTAAATAATCACAAACACACAAAGGAGAATCATAGATCGAAAGCTGTCATTGGTCTAAAGAAAGGGAGGTTTTCCTTACTCCCCAATGGATCTTGCCATTCTTCTTCTTTGCTTAGAAGCAGCTCCTCTGTGTGAGAAACTTCCATGTAGACCTGAACAATGAGATAAAATAAAAGCTAGTTACTAATAGCTTTTATGAGGTCAGCAAGAGTGTGAAGTGGTAGGAATGGAACGAATCTGATCAGTCATTATACTGAATTGTCCTTCACTGACAGCAGTTCCATCAAAGCTGAACTACACATTACAGCAGAAAACATGAGCATCTGCTAGTTCTAAAGAAACAAGTGCTTATAATGTATATTTTACATCATTATCAATTAATGGATATATTAAATATTTTTATAATGAAACCTTATGGAGACTGATTGCGAGTAAATATATTGTATTGTTTTATTTTTATTTACTTTTTGCAGTGGGGCTACTGAGCTTATTCTATTCAGTCTAGAAATTCTGGACAATTCCAAGAGAAATGAAACATTATCCCAATCTCTGTTTTCTTACATATATAATGAAGGTTTCTTCAGACCCCAAACCTGATGGCTCTCTTTTACCTGCTTTGCGCAAGAGGGCAGCAATGTCTAACAAAATGAAAATCTCCACTTAACAAAGTGAAAGTGTGGTTTCATTAATTAGCCTGATGATTTCCTCTTCTGCTTCCCAACTAATCACACAGTAGATCTCTGGAGACCTTTATTTCCCAAGAAACATTCTCATAATTCTTTTTATAGCTCTGAAATAAAATAGTTTCCCTTTCTTCCTTTTTCATTTGCAGACCAAGCTTGACATGTTTGAAACAGTTCCTCTCTCTCTCTCTCTCTCTCTCCTCATTGCCTGCTCTCTTTATTTATTCATAACTACAGATGGGGATGATAGAAACATGAACAAATTTTATTTCATGGAACAAACCTAGAAGTGTATTGGTGAATCATCACACTGAGACTGGCAGTACTGAGGAAGAGAAGGGAATTGGAAAGGAATTGGAAGGGCATTGGAAGAGAAATGAAAGAAAAGGGGAAATGTTGAGCAAGCAGTGGAAACAGCAATAAACACAAAATATTTATCAACCATCACATTGGGCTTGACAGACACTAAATAGTTATCATTGAATTCTGCTGGACAGTCTTGGCTAGTCTGTTTTGAATGGCTTAACTTTTTCCTTGATGTCTAACTGCAGATAATCATGATGTGTTTCCAGAGGCACATATTACACCAATTTTGTAAACCATGCAATGACTTTCAATTAACTTCCAGGGGCAATTTAATGTGTTGAATTCAATGTAGGCAAATCTTTGGCTTGACACAAAGTGACCTAAAAAAAATCATCTCTCCATTCAAATTGGCTCTAGACTATTGATCAGGTCAGGAAAAGAAGCTGGTTGTCCCCCATATTGTGGAGGGCAGAGCAAATATAAAACTGTAAGTATTTTTTGCCTCTATATTAGTATAAAAAATAAATTTGAAGCATGAGAGATGGAAAAATTAGTACATGCTACAGATTACAAACTACAATAATAACCATATATAGAGAAGCATCTATAAAACTGTACAAGGTAAGAAAATGTATCTGCAGGGCTTTTATTTGTTTCTGCACTTGGTGTTATGTGTTGTATACTTAATAATTTGTCTATTTTTGCTTGCAAATCACCAGGCCCTAGTTTCTGAAATGTGTCTTTCATGTGGTGAACTATGCATTCAGCCAAACCATTAGTGGATGTGTGAGCAGGCACTGAGAGGGCATGTTGTACCCCATTTTGTGCTAAGAATCCCTCGAACTGTGTGGCTGTGAATTGAATATTCATTGTTGGATACTAAGATATCTGGAAGGCTGTGTGTAGCAAATAGTTTCATTAGAGTTCTTATTATTGCCTCTGTTGTTGTGGATTGCATGATGCTGACTTCCAGCCATTTACAGTATGTGTCCACTACAATAAGAAATATGTGTCCTCTGACTGGCTCCGCAAAATTGATATGTATTCTAGACCAGGGTCCCCTGGGTAATTCCCACTCATGTTTGGCTGCTATGGGTGGTGCCGGTCAGTTTTTCTGACAATTCTGGCAGGCGGATACCCCAGGCCTCTATTTCCTTATCCGTCCCTGGCCACCACACATAGCTCCTTGCTAATGATTTCATTTTAACTATCCCCGGGTGCCCTGCATGGAGCATCTCCATTATTTCATCCCTTAACATTGCTGGAATTATAACTTGATCACCCCACAAAATACAACCCTTCAGTATGGATAGTTCCGTTTGTCTGTTTTTGAAAGGTTTGGTTTCTTTGGATTGTTTCTGTTGAGGTCACTCCCTCCCTACCCAGTTCAAAATGCATGCCAGAGTTCTGTCTTTTGCAGTTGATCTCACGATATTGGATGCTGTAACTGGTGTTTGTTGCACTGTCTCTATCAGTAATGTAGTGGTAGCTGGTGCTGGGTCTTCATTCTCACTGGGCAGGGGGCACCTGCTTAATACATCTGCATGATCAATCTCTTTTCCTGGTCTATGGATCAAGTTGTAATCATATGCAGATAAGAATTCTATCCAATGGGTCATCCTGGGGGACACGATGTTTGGGGTGGCTTTATCCCCTGCAATAACGTCCAAAAGGGGTTTCTGGTCAGTGATCAATGTGAAGTTCCGTCCATATATGTATTCATGGAATCGCTTGATGCTGGTAACTGTAGCCAATGCTTCCTTGTCTAGTTGGCTATAATTTTGTTCAGGTTTGGATAATGTCTTTGAATAAAATGCTATTGGGGCTTCCTTTCCATTCGGCAAAAGGTGGCTGAGTACTGCGCCCACCCCAAAAGCGATGCGTCACAAGTTACTATTATTGGCAAGGTTTCATTGTATTGAATCAGTACGCATTCTGATGTAATTAAGTTCTTTATTTTTTTGAACACTGCCTCTTCTCTATTTCCCCAAACCCAGGCTGCTTTCTTGTCAAGCAATCTGTGGAACGGTTCTGCTACAGTTGCCTTCTGTGGTAAGAATATATGGTAAAAGTTAGTTAATCCCAGGAAAGCTTGTAATTCCATTTTATTTTTTTGTCTGGGGGCATCCCTGATTGCTCTGGTTTTACTGTCCGTGGGGTGGATGCCATCTTTGTCTATTGAGAACCCCAGAAAACCCCTGTTGGCTGCTAGTTGGCATTTTTCTTTTTTAACTTTAAGCCCCACCTCCTTGAAACAGTTAAGAACTTCCCTTAAGCGATCTTGTAATTGCTCTTTGTTTTCAGCTGAGATGAGAACATCGTCAAAATAAGGCACCACCCCCTTCAGTCCAGGCAATAAGCATTCCACGAGGCTCTGGAATAGTCCCGGGGCCACGCTCACCTCAAATTGCAAACGGTTACATTTAAAAGCCCCTCTATGAGTCACAATTGTCTGTGCTTCTGCTGTTTCAGCACCAACTGGTAATTGCTGGTAGGCTTGTGCAAGGTCTAACTTTGCGAAAAAAAATTCTTGCCCCAAAGAATGCAAGTGTTGCACCACTGTGATTGGGTACGCACTCTGCTGTAGCAACCGGTTCAGAATCGCATGATAATCAGCACAGATGCTCACAGATCCATCTGGCTTTATAGGGGTGACTATTGGGGTTTCCCACTTCGCATGATCTATTGGTTCTAAAATCCCTTGGGAAATGAGTTTGTCTAACTGCTTGATTATTTTTGGTTTAAGTGCGAAGGGAACGTGCCTTGCTTTTAATTTGATCGGTACAATATTTGGGTCTAAATTAAAAGAAATAAGGGACCCCAAGTACTTGCTTAATTTTCCATCAAAGGCATCCCGGAATTTCTCTATCAGTTGGTCCTCCCACTCGGTATCTGTGATGCTGTGTATGCCCATGAATTCAATTCCCAGTGGCTTGAACTATTCGAGCCCCAGCAGACATGGCCAGTCCCAGTCGACCACAGTTAAAGGCAGGATTCCTGAGTAATTTTGGAAAGATATTCTGAATTCTCCAATGCCAATGACTGGAATCTTGTTCCCTTGATAGTCTTTTAAAATTATTTTTTTGTTTCTTTAGTTGTATTTTTGTCAGTTGGGCAATTATTCTTTTGATGGTATCCTATGACACCATTGATAGAAGAGACCCCAAATCCACTTCCATTTTACATGGCTCACCTTCTATTGTAATGTTAACATGTATTTTCTTAATGTTTGGTATGCTGGAGTGTCCCATGATTACCATCTGGTGCATTTTACCTCTTTTTGTGCTTGGCTCATGGTTCCATCGATTCTTTCTATTTTGACCCCCATGGTTTTCAGTTTGATTTTCCTGAGTTCTTGGGGGTGTACTTTGCCTTGGTCTTTGGTTGTTTGGCATTCAAGCCAAACAACTCCCCCTCCACTCACAGCATTGGCAAATAGCATGTCGGAACTGGCATTCTGATCTAAGGTGATTTCCTTCACAACCCATACACCAAAATTCCTTCCATTTCCTTTCTCTGCTGTTCTGGTGTCACTCAAGGTGGAGTTGATTCACTTCTTCATCATGTGCTGACCGCGACCCAGATTTGAAGTCCTCGTGGTAAATGGCGGCAGTGTCTTTTTTGAGGGGTTGTGAGTAGGGGGGTTGTGGAATCTTATTCATTTTTCTCATGGCTGCGGCGGACTTCTGCGACCCTTCTACTGTGGCTGCTTCTTTGATAACCTCTTTTAGTGTTGTTTTTGGTTTTGTTAGGAGCCGGCTCTGCAAGGTCAAGTCACTCAGTCCCAGGACTACATGATCCCTCATTGCCTCATTCACATTCAGGAATTCACATGCCCCAGTGATGTCCCTCAGGTTAGCTACAAAATCGTTTATGCTCTCTCCTTCCTTCTGATCTCTCTGGTAGAACTTGTGTCTTTTGATCAGACAGGATACAGGGGGAGTGTAATGCACCCTCAGAATCCATTCCAAATCTGGCCATGCCGTCGTCTTTACATCGCTCAGGGCTATAAGGGCTTTAGCCATCTTGAAAATGGTGGGACCGCAATGTGTGAGGAAAACTGCTCTTTTTCTCTGTTCTGTAATATTTATCAGGTCGCTGCTCTCCAGGAACATCTGGAAACAATCAACATAGGACACCCAGTCCTCGGTCATTGGGTTGAATGGTGCGGGTGGCGTATTGTTTCCGGCCATGTTGAGTTCTTTGTCCGGTTAGCTAGCCACATTATTGCAATCCCACTTCTCTCAGGATCCCATCCTCATTGCCAGTGTTAGATCGTGGGCAAGAGAAGATGCAGGAGGCTTTACCATTTGCATTTCTTAATTACATTGTACAGAACAAAGAACAGCAGCCCCAGCAGCTCCTTTTCTATCCCCAAGCTGCCACGGCCACAACCAGTGACAGCTCTTCAACTTCCTGCCACCACTGGCCAACCAATCAGGGCATATATGTTAATATCTAACAGCACCTATTTCCCAGGTGTAAAAACAGATCATGTGCCTATAAAAGCATCACATTCTTGAGCAAAAGGGCTTTCCGGGTTTTCTCAAAACTACCCACTTCATGGTCCTCTTTATCTAAAGGCAAATAAAAATATGGAGAACGTTGCTTTTTTAAAAAATTTAAAAAATTGTTGCATCCATCCTTCCACTCACAGCAACACCCAAAGAAATAAATGTAGTGTTTTAGCAAAGTGAGAGGAAGTCAAAAATGATGATTTGGATGCAGTTAATTCTCTTTGCAGCTGTCTTTAGAGATAAACTTTCCTTTTTAGGAAAGGGATAGGCAACATGTAATGATTCAGGCTTTATGTCCAAACTTTCAGTTAAGTCTGCAGGGGAGAAAATTGAAATTGTAGGAAGAGGCTGATCTAATTTTTTTCTCCTTTTCCATTTGGGGGAAAGATACAGGGTTTCAAATTGTAGTGTGGGGTGCGGGGGTTTGAGAGCCAAAACACATTCATTCCTCCTTTAAAAGTTCTCCATATCACCCCTGCAAAATCAACAAACTAAAACCTCTGAAAATGCTTGGGTGTCCAAGTGGGTGGATTTCACTGACAGCCTTTCAGGTCATTTTCAGACAGATTTGGGGACTTTTAGCAGAATTTGTTAATCCTCTAAACATCATTTGTGCAAGATAGGCTGAAGAAAATCTACAAGGTCAAAACAGAGACTGGCATTTTGATCCCAAAGTTATGTAAATTCAGAAGCAATTTCCTGCTTAAATGATGTATCATTTTAAATAATCAAGGTTTTATTTCTTACATCAGAAAATCAATGCTTCACATTTTGATTAACAATTTAAAAATTAAAAATTAAAAATTGTCTCTTGGCTGGGACACTTTCAGCATGTCTAAAGTTAAAGGAACTTTAGAAGGTCAAAATATTGTGTGGCACTTTTATGCTAATATGGCTTTCCTTTGAACAAAATCAATCTGTTGTGTCAGAGTGTTTGCAACGTGACTACTATTGTGAGACAACTCAGGAGCACAACACAGCACACAGAGGCTTTGTCTTTTAACAGTGGTTTATATACAAGACTGCTATGTACATAAATATCTGTGTTAGGCAAATACCTGGCAATCAATCAATCTTCATTACTCTGCACGGAGAACTACAATGGAGATAGAACACAAGGAGAGAGAGATACTCCCTTTCATGGTCTCTCTTATATAGACAGCTTCTTAAAGTGGCAATAACTCTGCTGACTCATCCTCATTGCCTCAGCATTTACAGCAGCCTTAAAACATCTGGTCAGCTATTAAATCTCAATATCTTAACATGTTGCTTTACAAATTTCTTAAGGATTAAAAAAAATCTCCTTTAGGACTTCTTCAGCCTGTCTACAACACACGATGAAAGCATTATAGATGGTCAAAACAATGTGTCTCTCTTTTATCCTGAGGGCTATGTAAATTCAGTGATAGCTTCCTGTCAAAGGAACCATATCTTCCTGCTCTCTTGTTACACCCCAAAACACAAACATTGGATGCTTCCCTGGGTTCTTTCCCATCGCTAAACATCTTTCAATTATTAGAAGAAACAAAAATGATATTCTGGCTAAACTTTATGTCTTTACTACTAGTCCTAAAAGGTATTAGTTTCATCTTCAAGGATATGGTTTACTCCTTTTTGGTGTCTTTTCTTGCAAGAAGTCATATTAAGTAACCTTTCTTCCTAGGTGCCCAATCTGAGGTCCAACTGGTAGAATCTGGAGAGGATGTGAGAAGACCTGGAGAATAGAATAGAATAGAATAGAATAGAATAGAATAGAATAGAATAGAATAGAATAGAATAGAATAGAATAGAATAGAATAGAATAGAATAATTTTATGGGCCAAGGAATTTGTCTTGGTGTAAATACTCTCACTATACATAAAGAAAATATACATTCATTAAGAATCAAGAATCATAACATACAACACTTAATGATAGTCATAGGGTACAATCAACAATCAAATCATACTAGGAAACAGTCAATATAAATCGTAAGGATACAAGCGACAAAGTTACAGTCCTACAATCAAAGTGGGAGAGGATGGGTAATAAGGAGTGATGAGAAGATTAACAGTAATAGTAGTGCATACTTTGTAAATAGTTGAACAGTGTTGAGGGAGTTATTTGTTTAGCAGAGTGATGGCTTTTGGGGAAAAAAACTGTTCTTATGTCTAGTTGTTCTGGGGTGCAGTGCTCTATAAGCATCATTTTGAGGGAAGGAGCTGGAACAGTTTATGTCCGGGGTGTGAGGGGTTTGTAAATATTTTCACAACCCTCTTTTTGACTCGTGCAGTATACAGGTCCTCGACTGAGGGCAGGCAGGTAGTAATTGTTTTTTCTGCAGTCCTAATTATCCTCTGAAGTTTGTGTCTGTCCTGTTGGGTTGCAGAACATGGGTGTGAGATGGTAGGAACACAAAGAATCAGATCAATCACTTCAATTCAATTCAACTTCACTGATAGTGTTTTCATAGGGGTGAACTACATATTACATCTGAAGGTATGAATCGCTGCTAGTTCTAAGGAAAAAAGTATTTATACCAATTAAATGGATGTATGAAATATTTTCATAATGAAACTTTCTATAGACTGATTCCAAGTGAATAAATATATTGTATTATTTTAGCTTTATTTATTTCTTGAGGTAAGACTGTTGAGCTCATTTCTTTCCATCTGCAAACTCTGCAGTACAAATGGGAATCAGAAACATTGCCCCAATCCCTATTTTTAAGCTATATAATGAAGCTATCCTCAGACTCCTTTTATCTGCTTTGCACAAGAGGGCAGCAGTGTCTAACAAAAGGATAGTCTCCATTTAACACAAATGAAAGTGTGATTTTGTCTGTTAGCCTAGTGGTTTCCTCTGCTGCTTCTCAATTATCACTCAATAGGTCTCTGGAGGTCATCCATCCCCAAGAGATTTTCTCATCATCCTTTTTATAGTTCTGAGATAAAAAAATTCTCTTTCTTCCTTTTTCATTTGCAGACCAAGCTTGATACGTTTGAAACAGTTCCTCTCTCTTCATTCATTGCCTGCCCTCTTTTTTATTCATAACTACAGGCAGGGATGATAGAAACATAAAAATAATATTGCATAGAACAAATCTAGCAGTGTATTGGTGAATCATCACACAGAGATTGTCTATGCTGAAGAAGGGAAGGGAAGGAAAGGGAAGAGCTGAGAAAAGAAGAGAAGGGAAGGGAGGGGAGGGGAGGTAAAGGAAGGGAAGGGAAGCAAGGGGGGAGAGAAGGTAAAGGAAAGGAGAAAGAAAGGACTTTGAAGGGAAGTTGTGCAAGCAGTAGAAACAACAACAAACACAAAATAATTATCAACTATCATATCTTGCTATACAGGCTGTGGAGTTGGGGTTTGGTGGGGCTGTTTAGAATGGTTAATTCTTTCCTCAGTGGTTGATTCCAGATAATCTTGATTTGCTTCGTAGAAGGCACATATCAGTGGTGCTATTCAATTTTTTTTACTACTGGTTCTGTTGGTTGTGGCTTGGTGGGCGTGGCAGGGGAAGGATACTGAAAAAGCTCTAGTCAGAGGTGGGATTTGCCGGTTCTCCGAACTACTCAACATTTCCGCTACCGGTTCTCCAGAACTGGTCAGAACCTGCTGAATACCACCTCTGGCACATATTACACCAATTTTACAGACTATGTGTCTCATGGCTTCTGATTATTGTTGAAGGGCAATTTAAGGTGACGTTTTCAACCTAAGACATTGGTGAGCTTAAAGAATTCATCTGTCCACTAGACTTAGCTCAAGCTTTTTGATGATGTCAAGAGAAGCTGGTTGTCTCATATTTTGATGGGGTCTGAGGCCTGGACTCATTCCTTTTCCTTCATCAGAATGGCTCCACAGAATGGTCTCCTGCAAGAAGCATCTTTCATTCCAACCCTGATCACCAGCTGGAAGGTTCAGAAAATAGAAGATTGCTGGAGGCAAAAAAAAAATGTAGTACATGCAATGGAAACAACAGCAAACAGCAAATGATTATCAAGCATCACATCATGATAGACAGGCTGTGGAGTTGGGTTTTGGTGGGACTGTTTACCATGTTTAATTCTTTTTTGGTGGCTGATTCCAGATTTTATTTTATTTTCTTTATTTGTTTTATTTGTTTGTCAAGCATGTATGTGAAAATAAGTATAAGTATGCACATATCATTCATAACATACATACGTATATATGTTCATAACATACGTATGAACATCATGATTTGCTCCATAGAAGGCACATATTACACCAATTTTGCAAACTATGTATGCAATGGCTTCCGATTATTGTCCAAGGGCAATTTAAGACATTGGTGAGCTTAAAGAATTCATCTGTCTGCTAGACTCAGTTCAAGCCCTTTGATGATGTCAAGATAAGCAACTGGTTGTCTCATATTTTGATGGGGTCTGAGGCCTGGACTCATTTCTTTTCCTTCATCAGAATGACCCCACAGAATGGTCTCCTGCAAGAAGCATCTTTCATTCCAACCCTGATCACCAGCTGGAAAGTTCAGAAAATAGAAAATTGCTGGAGGATTTTTTGGAGTATATAGTAAGCAGCCAAGAATCTATTTAGGATTGCACAGTGTTACTGGCCACATGACCACAGAAAGTCTTTTTGGACAATGCTGGCTCCATCACCTCCTGGAGTCAGGCAACACTGGACAGTGGAAACGTTTACCTTTACTTTACACACTTGATATACATATAGTCGTGGAGTTATGACCACAGTTGAGCCCAACATTTATGTTGTTAGGTGAGAAATTTGTTAAGTGAGTTTTGCCCCATTTTATGACTTTTCTTGTCACATTTCTTAACTGAATCACTGCAGTTGTTAAATTAGAAACATAGTTGTTAAGTGAATTTGGATTCTCCCTTGACTTTGTTTGTCAGAAGGTCACAAAACATGACCCTGGGACACTGTAACCATCATGAATGTGAGTCAGTTGTCAAGCATTAGAATATAAATCACGAGAGCATAGGAATGCCTCGAGGGTCATAAGTGTAAAAAAATGGTCATAAGTCAAGCAGTCATTAAATGAACTGTTGTAAATCAAGGACTACTTGTACCAATTAATAAATATAAATAAGTAGCAAGAACCTGAATCAGGTAGTACACAAAAAGAAACTTTGTGTGTCTTTCTGTGTGTTTTCTTTCTCTTCCAGTCTTACAAAGTGATATTTGTTTCACTCTACATTTGCTCATGTGGAAGAACTCACTGGAGAAAGCAATTATGTTTGGAAGGTTAAGCAGTAAAAGAAAACCAGACCACCAAGGAACACAATGGCTGGAGACCATGAAAGTGGATACCAGCCAGAATATAGAAAAACTCTGGCAATGCAAGATTGGAATATGTGGAGAGACCTTGATCATAGAATTAACATGGCTTGGACATGACTGAATGGATATCATCATCATCATCATCATCATCATCATCATCATCATCATCCAACAACAACAACAACAACAAATTTGTTCAGGAGTTGCACTTCACAATCGAATGTTCACTTCTGGTAATCTTAATAAAATTCTGATTCCTTTATTAAATCATGTGGACTGACTTGTCTAATTCCTCCCTTTTGTTAGAGTGACAGGAGTTTGGGTGACTTTTGAGCAAATACAAAAATGTAAGTAATGTCTTTTGCTTCAATGTTTATATAAAAAATAAATTGGAGGCAAGAAAAAGATGGATAGATACTATAGATTTCAACCTACAAAAATAACATCTAGAAAAGCATCTAAAAATGGCTACAAGGCAAGAAATTGCATCCTTGACAGGGGTTAATGCAGGAGACTGTGCCTAAAACATGGGTTTCAATTTTGATTGTATTTCTTTAATTGCAAATGTGGGAAATAGTTCCACTAAATGTTACTTACAACTCCATCATGCAGAGAAGTAGAGAATTGGTTATTTACCAGCTTTAATATTCCACAAATGCTCAACTGATACATCACATTGAATTTTCAAGGTATGACTTTCCATCTGACAAAATCAACCTTTTGCTTCACATGTTTCTAAAGGAAGAAAATAAATACACTAACTGACATTGGGACATTTTCAGTCATGTCTAAAATGGAAGATGAAGATACTCTAAAAGGTCAAAGCAGTGCATGTGTCTTTTATTCTGAGGGCTATGTAAATTCAGTGTCAACTTCCTGTTCAAAGGAACCATATCATCCTGCTCTCCTGCTGCACTCAAAAACTCAAAAGTCGAGTGCTTGTCTGAATGTTTTCCCATAAGTCAAAATCCTCCAATCTTTTGAGGAAGCAATAATGGCACTCTGGCTGAACTTCGTGTCCTTGTTAATTGTCCTCAGAGGTATTATTTTCCCTCCAAAGAAAGGGCTTATTCCTCAGTTTCTTGTGTTTACATGCAGGAGGTCTTATTACACAAACTGTCTTTCTAGGTGTCCAATCTGAGGTCCAGTTGGTGGAGTCTGGAGGAGATGTAAGAAGACCTGGAGAATCCCTCCATCTTTCCTGCCAAGCCTCTGGGTTCACCTTCAGCAGCTATTATATGGGCTGGGTGAGACAGGCTCCAGGGAAAGGACTGGAATGGGTAGCACAGATATGGTCTTCAAATATTTACTACTCTGACAAAGTGAAGGGGCGCTTCACCATCTCCAGGGATGATGCCAAAAGCCAGCTGTATCTGCAAATGAACAGCCTCAAACCAGAGGACACAGCAGTCTATTACTGTGCAAGATACACAGTGAGAGGAAGTATATGTGAAGCCAAGCAAAAACTACCCATTTCAAACAGCAGCTCTGCAAATTTCTTTTCTAATAAGAAAACAACTTTATTAATACAGATTCTTCCTTCATATCTTCATTCTACATATCAACCTTCATCCATTCAATCTAAAGGAACAAGCCTATGTTTTTTTTTCTGTGTAATTAATTCAACCTCCATTCATTCAATCTATAGGAATGAGTCTCTTTTTATATTTTCATATAAGGGATTCCGCACCTCAATTTCATACCCAATCCAGGTTGAATATACATTCTACTCATTCAGAATGCTTTCCCTCTCATTTCACCACCCATATTTCTTATTATTTAGTAATGGTATCATAAATTTATCTAAAAGAAATGACGACAAATAGTTGGTGTTGTAAATGTGAAAACCATGGTCAAAGTCTAAATTCTGGGCTAGCACTGATTTATAGACTGAACGTACCTTGGTTATAAACTGGTTTTATCTTCCGCATGAAATTCAGATGCAAATGAGATCATTAGGCTGTTTCTCTTTTAAATAATCACAAACACACAAAAGAGCATCACAGACCCAAAGTTCTGATTGGTCTAAAGGAAGAGTTGCTTTCTCACTGCACAATGGATCTTGTCATTCTTCTCCTTTGCTTAATAGCAGCTCCAGGGTGTGAGTATCTTCCAGGTAGACCTTAACAATGAGATAAAAGAAAAGCAACGTTATTTACTAATTCTTGTTTGGTCATTTTTTTAGATGTCCACTCCAATGTCCAACTAGTGGAATCTGGGCCAGGAATAGTGAGCCCTGGACGATCTTTCAGATTAACTTGCAAAGTGACAGGGGAATCCATCGAGAATATATACTTGGCATGGAGGCTCCAGGAAAAGGATTGGAATGGGTGGCTGCCATAGCCTGGGATGATGATGGTGAAAATGGAGCCTATGCCTCATCCCTCCAAAGTCGAACAAATCTGGCAGCCAATAACTCCCACAATGAATGTTATTTGACAACGAAGTCCTTGACAGCTGCAGATTCAGCCACATATTACTGTGCACGAGGGTCACCGTGAGAAAAAGCAAAGGAGGAAGTGTGAAAAACTGCTCAACTTTTGTCTGAAGAAATTTTATGCATCCACAAGAATGGATTGAGATAATTTATATCTTCCTTCAGGTTTCAGTTTTTTGCAGAGTGTAATTAACCATTATTCAAACTCAACAAGAAGTAGTACTAGACTTCAGAGTAGCTGCTCATATTGCAAACAGCATGCTATTTTCTTCTCCTTTCTTTTCATTCTCTTCCTTTGTTTCTGCAGTTTTCTCAAGAACCAGCTGCAACATCACTGTCATGGAGAAGAATTTAGAGATACAGTGTCCTGGTAGGTGGATTAATTAACAAATCCTAAGAGTCATGTAAAGCTTTGCCATTTGTCCTTGGTGCACCCAGATATTTATTGGTTTTCAAACAAGCTGAATATTGATGGGAAGTGGTAGGCATGGAAAGAATCTGATCGATCAATACAGAGTATACAGAATTCTCCTTCACTGATAGCAGTTTCATCCAGGCTGAGCTACAGATTACATCTGAGAATAAATGTGTCTGCTAGGTGCTAAGGAGATAAGTTCTTATAATGTATATTTTACATTATTTTCAACTAAATGTATATATGACATATTTTTATAATGAAATTTTCTGGAGGCTGATTCCAAGTGAATAAATATAGTGTGCTATTTATTCCTTTAGGTGGGGCTATTGAGGAGAGGGGAAGGAAAGGAATTGGAAGGGAAGGGAAAATGTTGTGCAAGCAGTGGAAACAATGACAAACACAAAATAGTTATCAATCATTATATTCTGCTGGACAGGATGTGGAACTGGGTATTAGCAGGTCTGTTTTGAATTGCTTAACTTTTTCCTCAATAGTTAACTCCAGATAATCCTGATACATTTTCCATTGGGCGCATATTATGCCAATTTTTCAGACCACAAAATGATTCTGATTAAATTCCAAGGGAAATTTAATGTGCTGATTTCAACCTAGGCAAACCTTTGGCTTGGCACAGAGTGAGCTGGAGAATTCCTCTGTCCATTGGAATTGGCTCTATACTATTGATC